TGGGAGGAATATTGTGCTTGCTCCGTCGGGCTGCATCCTCAAAGGACAGCAAACACACAGCTTTAGTTCCCAGGCTATGATTCAGTTGTAAAAAAGCCAGAGCTATTAATAAGCTGTGCTCTTATAAACCAACGACTACTATCTTTAACTCAAACCAACCTGATTATTTATTAACTACATTTGACAACTGAAGTTGGCTCGGAGCATAACTTCCCTGTAGAAAGGGGAGCAACTTTATTTATGTTCTTTTTGTTAGAAGAGCAGTAAAATTTTGAATTTACTGCTAATTGTTTCCTAATGGCTATTTTTCCCCCAAGAAGCTTTTTGTTTGATAGAGTAAATAAAAAGCCAGATATTTGTTTTCTTTTCCTTTTAGGCAATAAATAACAAGGCCTATTTTGTGCACAAGCCTTCTATTAATACCAGAGTCTATATTCCTTCAGTACTGATGTATTTTCATGATTATGCATTTCATGTAAACAGCCTTGTGAAATGCAAAGCAGCCGCTCAAAATGCAGCGCAAGGCGGGCGATTGATAAGGCACAAAAGCCTCCAATTCTGGCGTGCGCTGATCTTGCTTAAGTACATAATCGTTTGTTTTTCCTTCTCAACACGGTGTTTGCTGTCGGCCGACTGCAATGGGTTTTGTTCAGCGTTATTATAAAATAAAGCTGCATCTCATTTCCAAGTCAATTGCCCCGAAATTCAAGGAATTGGGAAGCGAGGTATTTGACAATGGGCAAAATCAAGCGGCTGAAAGCCCCGATGCATCGTCTCGCCGCTTAACTCCAGCCCTACTCGAGCTTCCCAAGTGCTCATCCAAAAAGGCCGGGAAGAGCCTTTGTGGGGATTTTTTTTGCAATTGCTCTCCTTGCTGCGTTACGCTCGTCCTAAAGAAACCCTTTGCCCATTCAAGCCTGCAAGAGCAGTTCTTGGGTGACTTGCCACGCGGAGCAAATCTGAAAAGCTGCCCGGCTTTTTGGGAAGGTTCACCACCACCTGCTTGACTGAGATGTTACCAACTTTCTGTATCACCCGCACAGAAATTAGTCAAAAGCCTCAAATTAGCGCCTGAACGGCTGCTTGCCAAAACGCAGAACGATACCGCAGTCGGCCAGCTCCAGTTCCAAACACCTTTACGTCAGAAGTCTGGTTCTTGTTAGAGAGAAAGTAGGACTGAGTTCCAGCAATCTTACCAAGTCATTTAAGATGCTAGAAACTGTAAACACAGTAAAGAAAAATTATTGTTTGTCTTCACAGCAAATAGCTTGTTGTCGCATCTGTAGTCTCGGACACCAGAGTCCTGAGCTCTCTGCAAATCAAGAAGTCAACTGCACATCTGGGAACTTGCTCTCATAAGAGGAGCAGCTGGCCCATCCAAAAAAACCCCACATTAAAATCGGCGTTTGCTCTCATCCCGCACACTTAAACTGTGGCACCAATCGCCACAGAAGGCCGTGGATTTTAAAGCCGCTCGCACGTGTTTGAAAAGTGAATCACCAACACACCAAGGATTATAAATTATTAAAGCCACCAGCTCTGGTTCAGGATGTTCTTCAGCAGTTGGTTCTGGTTGCTGTGAAAGACAGAACGTCAGCCCAGATGGGCCTCTGGCTTTCATTCTGTGCTCTTATTTAAAACAAGAGTTGTCAAGAATATCGATCCGTCCCTTTGGACAAGCAGAGGCGATCTTCACCTGGGTAGGCACAGCCCGGCGCTCCCAGGCAGAACGCTGCGGGAGCCGACACATCTCCCTCTGTCCCTCTGGGTCCTTCCCCCCATTTCTGGATATGGGGGGGGGGCTGAATTAATTAATTAACACATTCGTTTTTGCTGGGTGACGCAGGCATAGCTGCGTTATTGTGAGTTAGAGCCTAACAACAACCGGGGTGAACCTGCCAGCTCATTTGAAAAGGCTTTGGATGAGCCCCTCAATTGGGAGCCTCTTCCCTGCCCGGGAACTTCCCGGAGCATCACGAGCTTTTGGCAACCAGTTGAAGACACCACAAGCTCCCGCGAAAGCTAGCGTAATACTGGCTTGAGTTTTATGAAGAAATGAAGGGTGAAGAATGTGTACTTGGAGAAAGCGAAGCAACTATGTCAGCGAGCAATACGTGCTTGCGATCATGCAATTAAACAAACTGCAAAGGCCCTGGTGAAGATTTCATAATTTCCTTTGCAACAGCAGTATCATAAAATATCTTCATTCAGCAATGCCCTGTCTGAGGGCTTTGAGACCAGGGCACCCAAAGACCAGAAGCCAGCCTGGACAGGACAGGGAGACGTTTTAGCAGCGTTTAATTACTGCCGTGGTGTGCCCTTAGGAGAAGAGTCAGACTGAAGGTCCATCTGGCCACCTCTCCCGACCCCAGCAGGGGCCAGATGCCTGCAGGAAGAAAGCCAGCCCCGCGGGGAACCATATGGTGACACCATCTCAGTGTCACTTTGCCGCCTCGCTTCCAGCTGTCCAGGCTTTTGAGCTCTTACCCTCCAAAGCCCATGGGAGGGTTTTGTTTCAGGGGTTTGCCAACAGCTTTTCCAAACCCTTTAAAAGCTTCTGGTGTTCCCTGTGTCTCGGGGTGATGGGTCAAAATCCATCAGCCATCATCCCCTGCTCCCACCTCCCAGGTCTCGTCTGACTTTATGAGCAGGGATCTATCTGGGGAGGGCAGAAGGATGGGGAATACAGCCGCAATGGCTGAAATACCTTTCAGGATCACCCAAAGCTTGTAATGACCGTAGAAAGCAGCTGAGGTAACAGATGGAATAACTTCCAGCGGGTCCTTGGAGGCCATGTGCACACAGTATTGCAGGTGCTGGGCAGGAGAAGCTCTACAAAACACCCTGGACTTCAAGAAAGCCCCGTTATTTAGCAACAGGGGTGATGAAAAGCGCTTCCCAACTTGCTCCCTCCTATTAGCCAAAGCTAAAATGGTCTTTTTTGGTTGTTTTTAGTCTCATCCTCCTGCACATCAGCATCTGAAGCACTACTTCAGTGTTATGATGACCACTGTGGGTTCATCTTCATCTCCATGGGGCTCCTGGCTGGAAAACTACATTATCCTGAACTGAATTTCTACCCTAAGGCTGGTTTTTCTTTCTTTTTCTTTTCCCCCCTGTTCTTAACTGGGCTGAAATGGGAATAGTGATTCTCTCTGCATTGCAACCCCAGGTGAGCAAGGAACAGCTTCATGCCAAGGCCGCCAGCAAGAGAAATTGCTATAGATGGGAACCTCCCATGTTCTCCCATCCATTTTCCACCACAGATCCCACTTTCTTGCTTATGCTGTAATTCTGCTGCTCCCCAGACCCTTCCCCAACTCTTTGGTGGCTGGATGCCTCTTCCCCAAGCACACTGATAGCAACAGAAGGACTAGTACTTCTCCCTGGAGAAACAGGAATTAAACTGTATTATCCTATAGGATATCCATACCTTTTATATATATATATATATTTTTTTTTTTAATATTTTTCTACGTAGAGGTCTTACAATGGCCCCCTGAAATGAGGCTCCTGTTTGCCACAGACACACTTGTGTGACTGCCTCTACGTCATCGAGCAATAAACGTTTCCGATCCTCCATCCCATTCTCTTTTCCCAAGAAAATTCAAGGCAATTAGGTTTATAGGCCAGCAGACGGCAAGGGTTTAGTGGAAGCACGGCGCTGTGAGGAAGGCGTCCGATGAAGATGAAGCACGACGCATGTTCACCGAGAAGGTCAGTCAAGGACACTGAAAAAGCTTTTCGAGACACAACCGTTGGGGCACAGCGAGGGCTGAGAGGAATGACAGGGTATTTTGTAAATTAAAACTCGTTAGATACCTCCCAATGGGTGATTTGTAATAAGTGGAAATTTGTGCTTGTAAAAGAAAAGGAAGAGTAGGCAGCGTCTCACAGCAAAGGAGCGTGAAAATCGGCGTTTTACCGTGAGAGCGGAGATTGGTCTGAATGGGAGTATCCATTTTACAAAATAAAATAGTAATACATTTAAAATAAAATAAAATAAAAGCCACTCCAGCCTGCACTTTTCCTTTCCAGGATAGCCAAGGCGGCTGTGAAGTGCAGGGGGCACTCTGGGTGGGTCTTGCAAAACCCAGAATGTTTGAAGACACCAGCACGCAAACCCGTCTCACCATTTCCTGAGTTAGCTGTTTTCCAGCTGCTGGGAATCGGTCTTATCCCCCCAGCTTTTGAACCGAGTAAATAAACCCCTGCAGTCCTTCAAAAGTTATTATTGAGCAACAGTGGAAAAGAATTTCTGGGAAAAAAGAAACGAAACTGGTAAGAAATAAGATGGAAAGGGCAAGAAAGGTGGGGCACTCAAACAGGTTTCCAGGTTCTGGCAATGAAGGTTTTAATGAAAACCAGAATATTTAGGTTCTTATCTGGGAAAAGAAGCAATGTAAAGGACAGTTTAGGAGTAGCACCATTGCAACGGCAGAGAAGCTCTATGGAAATAAAGCAGATTTTTATAATAATCGTCTGTTGAATATGGATTTACAGTTTCTCTTCTTTTAGTTCATCCCCAAAGGAAAATGTTTCTATAAAACAGGTCACTCGCATGCCATTCCCACCTCCACCAAAATCATACATGCCCAGGAAGACAATTTAGAAACCACCACCACTGCCCTACCTTCAGCCATCAACCCCATCAAGAAGACCACGATTACGCTTTTACAGTACATGAAAAATACTCCAGAGTTGCAACATGTCAACCATTTTGACCTTCAAACACACGGACAGGGAAGACAGTGCAAAGATAAACTATTTCCTGATGCCTACAAACACGGGAAGGTCTACATTTGGCCACTCTCTTGCAGAACAAACCTTAGTTCCCCATTCAGCTGTCCTTGCAACACGCAACATCAAGGGATAACACCCAACCCCAAAGGCATAAACCCATTCCCAATCTCTTTTCAAGCTGCAAGAGCTCTCTGAAGGCTGCAAAAGTCCTTGAGGAATCATCTTAACGTAAGAGTTACATCAAAAGGAGCACTTACCCTTGAAGGGCTTTTTCTCCAAACCAATCTCCTTTCCCCAAAGTGCGGAGAAAGACTGGATCTTCACTGGGGGAGTCTTCACGAGTGACATTCACCTGTTGAAAAGCCAAACCCCAGAGCATTTAGAAAACTTTTAATTAAAAAATAAAACTTGTTTGTTCTGAGAAGGATTCGTCATCTGCCAGATCTCTAGGGAGAAGCTCTGGTCCGTATCTCCTCTGGGAACCACGTAATTCTCCAGAGTCCTGCACTCTTCCCTCAGCATCACCAACCAACCATCCGAGAAAACGAGCAGTTATTTTCCACTAACATACCTACTACTCTTACAAAAATGCAATACTTGTGGTTTTTTGAAGGTTTTTAACTCTAAGCATGGAGTTGGCTGCACAAGCACAGTCATTGCCCGTATGGAGTGAGTGGCAGAAGGAAGTTTCAGATATTTTCTGTGTATCAGACAGACACACGGCACAGGCTTCCGTTAGCTTTGCTCTGCATGATTTCTTGCATTGCTGAGTTCACTTCAGGGAACGGAATAACCAAACCAATCGACATTTAGACATAATGGAACTGAACCACTTTGGAGCACTGCAGGATGAAGATGCCTCCTCTCCTTCTTACTGCCTCTCACGTTCGGGGAGGGGGTAGCTCTAGCTGAGCAAAAATCAAGTACTGTCATTGACATTTAAAGGAAAATACCACCTTATTTTTTAATTTTTTATTCTGGCAGTGCAAGAGAAAAGCAATTACTGCTGGGGAAAGCAGCCTTGCTGCCTACTGCAAACCATGGGTAGCGTAACCTAGCGTAAGCCTAAGCTGCAGCAGCTGGCACTGCATCTACAGGAAGATGACTTCACATCAGAGAGCGATGATTTCCTATCACCGGGGGGTGGAGGTGGGTGGGTGTCCTTTTTATTTTCTGAAACGATTTCAGAAGAAAAATAGCAATTGATCACCTGAACACCCTTGGCTCTGGCTTCCTGTGCCAGTCCGGGATATAAATCCCAGCTGCCATGTAATGACAAAGCCCCCCACATCCCGCTGGGGCTGAGGATGGCACGACAGACCAAGGATGGAAAGGGCTCCACGAAAGATGAATGCTCTTGATGTAATGGCCCTCCCTGAGAAATATTTTTTCCTTTTCAGCTGTTACCCGAGGTAACTCGTACCCCTTACAGCATGAGCAGACAGGTGAGATACAGCCCCCTGCTATCAGTGCATGGTGGGGATCACCTCTCCCGCCGTTCACCATCTATAAACCTAGTTGTCCAGTCCCTGTCTGCGGTCAGGGGAGAGGGACAGGCGTTTCCAAAGCCTGAGCTGTCCAATATGTAATTGGGATGAGCAACTCTCTGGAGGTGCCTTGCACACACGAGGAAATCTCTCATCTGCTTCTCCTTTCCAGGCTGTTTAGCTTTAATCAGAGCTTTTGCTTATGCAAAGGCACAGAGCCAAAATCTGGGATGTCAGGCACATCCTTTCGGATTTAGAGACATCGCAGTTTAATTTCACTATTAAATTTACAATTGTGGCCCACATCTCCTCCCATCTTTTTTATGGATGGTAAAACCGGTGGGTTTGAGTCACTAATGAGCGCTCAGTCTCCACCGCATGGCGTTCAACATCTGCAGCAACTCATCGAAGATCAGATGAGGGTAGGGAACACATAATGGATGAGCCAGGACGATTTGTAGCCGATGGAAAAAAAAAAACGTGGACAAACCAAGGGAACTTTGATGCGTATTTAAGCTTTCTCCGCGACTGCAAGTTAGCAACGAGTGCTAATGGATTGCCGGAGCGTGATGATCTACGTGGTTCGAAGCGCTGAGCCCCTTCAATAGCCACGTGCCAACGAAGAACCTGCACCATCCCGCGTTAAAGTGGTGCCACACCACGGCTTTCCAAGGAAGAGGGGTGCACGGCGGCACGGCACGCACCGTAGCCAGGTGAAGGCGAGGGGCAGGGCAGGCGCGGAGCAGCAGCCTTTAGCAAGCAGAACGGACCGAGCCGTTTTCACCTGATGTAGCACTCAACAGATTTCTGCGTGCAGGTCGTTGTGAACACACTTCTGATTTCTGTTCACTTGGACTTGAGGAAACTCGCCATCAGAAATAAACGACACGGGCTCTGGATCGAGATCAAGTGTGGTGGACGGAGTTGAGGGAGAGAAAGGTGAAAAGGTTTGTGCTCTGGAAAGAAACTTCCCCGGAGCGTGGGCTGAAAGAAGAGGGAGTAGAAGCCTTCCTAAGCATCTGTGAGAGGAGTGCTGGGCTCAGACACGTAAAAAGTCATCTCCATTCCCTTGACTGCCACTACAGGCGCTCTGACATAAAAGGCAAGGCACTTTTCATTAAAAGTCGCTTTCACCGATAACACTCAGGTGATGCTGCTGAAGGCAGAAGGTAAACCTCCCAGGTACAGGAGCTGCAGCCAGCGTTTCTCCTGGCTTATTAAGGTCGGGTTTATTCCCTATTTCACCGCTGAGGCTGTATTCCCCCTATCCTGGGCTGCACCCCTAGCGCGGGTTAGCTCCTACATTCCCTGTGTAGCTCTTATGTCCCAATACAGGCATTAAAATTAAATTCTCTCCAACTCCATCCATCTTCTACCAGTCACTGGCATCTGTTTTGCAAATCAGGAAGCTTGGAAGAGAAAACCGGGCAGAATTTAACTGTCCCTGTGGGAATTTCCGTCAGGAACCAGCTGAGGGTCTGGGAATTTCTCCACAAGCCCACATGCGTTGTTTTATCTTAGCTCCATTTTTCTGGCCATCAGCTGTCACAGTAAGATGAAGTAGCAAAGGCCAGGGATAAAGCCAAGGAGCATCACAAGCAGGACTGCAGGGCTCTGGAGCAACGGCCAAGGGCATGGGTGGTTTCCTCCTCCGTCCTGCAGGTGAGGTGTAAGGGCTCGAGGAGGTGCAGGTCGACAACTGAAGGCCCAGCTGGGGTCAACAACAGGGATTTGGTTTTTACAACCAAGGGTCCCTCTTTGGAGACTGAGAACTGCTAGGAAGGGATGGGATCCACCTGACCAACCGGGGCAAAAGCATTGTCGCCACCAGGCTGGACAACATGGCAAGGAGGGCTTCAAACACTCAGTGAGGGAGAGAAGTGAACCCTCCCGTTATTTTTGCCCGTTAAGAAAGGGGGTGGTGGTGGGGGAAGGTTTGAAGTGTGCATCATGGTTGTCCTTACTCTGGGAGAAGAAGAAATACTACTTCGGAGTGGTGGGAAGCGAAGGGGCATGAGGGAATACCACAGAACTTGGCTTTCTGAGGTCCATGATTACCTTCACCTCAGAAATTTGTCCATATCTTATTCACCTGAAAAAGACCAGCTTTTTCTTCCGATGAAGACTGGCTCCCAGAGATAGAGAGTGGAAGACGATGACGAAAATCCAGTTTTAGTACCCGAGAGCTGACAGCTGCCTTGGGAACAACCCAATGGCGCATACAACGCCCACGTTCTTCCCCTGCAGATGCCACGGGGTTTTTGCTACCCTTAGCTACGCAAGGCCAACGTTAATATGCGCCTCGGTGCAGACATCAGATCCATGAACCAGGAGGCTGGGGCTGGCCTACTTTCAAGCATATTTACCCGTTTGTGTTTACTTTCAGTGTATCACATCTCATCTGCAGTGGGAAATCACTGTGTAGTCCCTTGAACATCTCCATCCTGCTACATGGAAAGGAGCCAAATGTATCTCAAGTGTAATAGGCCAGCTAAAAAAATAATAAAAAAAGTTGAATGGAAGGAAAAAAACTCTTATCTATAAAATCCCATCAGGATTTTATGGGAAAAGAGGTCGAAAAACATATTTTCCCTGTGAGCAGTGGAACGGAAACTTAGCCCTTTTTTCTTCCCCAAGGAGAGAGCTCAGACTTCTCTGGCTTCCTCTTATCTAATTTGGAGAAGCTGAGAAGTGATAGCCATGGGAATGAAGTCTGGAAGTCAGCCTCATAAGAGGGATAGGGGATACTTAGCAAAGAAAACGTTGAGTACTGTAGGGTATGCGTCAGGAAAAAAAAAAAAAAAAAAAAAAAAAAGAGCTTTTTGGTCATTTACCAAGAGACTCAACAACTGTTTTCAACCCCAAAGTGTTCACTGTGAGCACATGGGTAGAACAGTATGAGATCTCCTTTCTCCCCTCCAGGCCACGCTTCCCGACTGATACAGTGCCAAGAAGTTTAATTAAATGTCAAGTGCAGCGACGCTTGTGCCTCGGGGGGGAGAGGGGAAGCGCGGGCTGGCACTGAACGTCGAGAGCACGTCACCGCAGCGCTGCCATCATCCCGCGAAAGGCTGTCGACTCACCTTTCCTTTGCTGATTATAAAGAAAGTGTCCCCTCGGGCACCCTGTCGTATAATATACTCTCCGCTTTCGTAATGTGTCTGTAAAAAAAAAAATTAAATAAAAAATTAAGATGAACAACAGAACCAGAGACAGTTTGGCAGTTTTGCAAGATAATGCTTATGGAAACATAACCCTGGACCAATTTTATCCCAGTTTGACATTGGCTGTGATTTAAGAATTGTCCTGTGTCAAGGAATATAATAATCAAAATGGAGCCATTTAGGGCTGGCCCATTTGTCTTCTGACTGTGCTCGTGCCAGCTTTTGCCCAGATGAATTATCCTCACGGCCTAAATCCATCTGTATTAAGTAAACCAGACAGAGGAATTTTCAACAGAGAGTACAGTACATGAACTAAACTGCAATAATATGTCTGTTGTAAAAATAGTTCTTTTCCATTTTTTGGTTGGTTTTGGTATTTTTCCAGCTTTTCTAGCAAAGGCTTTATTCCACAAATGATTTTTGCTCTTCTCCTGTTATTATAGTAGTTCAATCCATCTTTTTTTCCCTTGTTTTGTGGAATATTCCTTACTAAATTTATGTCACAGCTTATCAACACTCGCATCTAAACTTAATAGGATAGCTTCAGCCCTTGTATCACCCCATCAAAACCAATCTGCATGTATACATCACCAAACAAATAAAAGCTGGTACGCTCTAAATAAAGACCCTGCGTTCATCTTTAGCCCCCCCCGGCATTTTCTCCAGAGATGCGCTACCCCCTGCAAATTCAGCAAACGTTGGGGCAACAGCGAGCAGAGGCCGGGGCACGCGCCGAGCTTCCCACACCCCCTCCCCGGCGTCTCCTACCAGGCAAACCCCTGCCAGGTTTTCTGTCTGAAGCCACACAAAAGCACAAAGCCAGATCGTTTCACCCCCAAGTACGTATAAACAACAGCAAGGATGGAGTGGAGCTGAGACGGAGGAATTACTCAGAATCCGAGAATTTGGATAGGCTTGAGCTGTTTTCTTTCAAGGCTGTTTTATTGACCTGCGCTTGTTTATTTATCTCTACACTCAACCTTTTTGGTGCCACTTACAGGCTGATAACAGACTCCACCATGAAAAGGTGGTAAAGGTGGTAAAGGCTCATGTAAATGTATCTGTTACATCTGAGAAAAGCAGCTCCTTGCTTTGGGACCAGTGGGCATGCGGGGATACCGACGAAAAGTAATTGTCCTGGGAGAAAGAAAAGACATCCAAGTGAACTATAATACAGAATTACTTCGTTTAGTTCTTTAAAATACATAGAGCTAGGCTCTATGGGTGCTTATGCCATCCTAAAAAACCCTCTGGGTAAATAAAATCAGGATGTCAAAGCAGTATGTCACTAATTAATACTGCTCAGAACTCTCCAGAGGATTATTAAAAAATAAAGCTCCCTAACAGGACCATAAATACCCAATGTTATCATGGCAGTCTTCAGAAAAGGGACCAGAGGAGGTGGGTGAGGAAGACTTCACCTGAGGGCTGTCCTGATCTGGATTTGGCTCTGATAGATCTAAAAACCACAGCATTTTTCCTATTTCCATGTGCTGGAGCGGGAAGCGCCCGGAGGAGACCATGGACACAAACCCGCAGTTTCACTTCTTATGTGGGCTGTTTCTGCAGAGTGGATTTTGAGGATGCACATTGTTGAGGCCCCTTGAAAGGGCCTGGGTTTGTACGGTGTTGGGATCGTACCCTCTCAAGAGGAATCTTGTAGGCAACCCAAAAACCTAATGACTGAAAACACTGGTCAGATGGTTCCAATTTTAACACGGGCAACCTGCATTCAATTTTCAGCTGATACTGGCCTGTAGCTGACTCCCAGCTTGTGGCCAGGTAACACGTTCCACAGGACAAAACCTTGTTCCTACAAGGCCATGGCTTGGCCTTAGCCACCAGCTACAACCGCACCAAGCACTTGGTGCTGGGGCTCACTGTCCTGCTGCCATCTCCGAGTCCCACCCACGAGCCTCCCAACCTCCCCACCCAGGCTTCCACGCAAGGAACAGAAGGAGAACAAATTTGAGCTCCGAAGGATCCGAAGCTGCTGCTCACTTTAGCATCTCTTGCGTACTGTAGGCTTTTTTCCCCCGGGCTCTAATCTCATTGAAAATAGTGCAAGCCCTTCTTCCAACACTCAAATTGCACTCCTCCAGGCCTTCCTTGAGCACCCGAACGCGCAGAGCTTTCATTTCACTTGACCTCCTCCTCACTGGCACCTCTCTCCATGCCCTTCCTGAGGTCCACAGCTTCATCTTCACGTATTTCAACCCATTTCGTTCACAGCTAATTCTACCCGGCCTTATCACAATTCTTCTTGCTTGAATCAACCTGTCCTTCCCCATCCTCTAACAACGC